GGGCAGCCTCATTAATGACATCAAGGACTAAGTGAAAGGAAGATGAAATTATTCTTTTACCGTTGCTGTTAAGTCTTTCAGGTCAAAAAAGACACATGTAACCTTTTCAATGGGAGAATAATAATTTCATTAACAAGATTATTATGGACCATACCTTGTACACCAAAAATCCCTAGTCTTGTGTCAAATTGGACAGTAATGTAATAAATATAACTGGAAAAAAAAAAAGTCCAAGCTGAAACTTTCCAGAAGAAAATATATAAACAGCTAAAAACTCATTCTTGCTGTCCGTGTTCTCCTGTATTACACTCAACAATCATAAAACTGTCATGACAATTTAAAAAAAAAATAATTTTTTGCCCTCTTGGATAGTAAGCGTTCATGGTTTCAGAAAACATTGTGAAAACTGAAGTTCATAGATAGCTTCTCAACTGTAGTATTTACTTGAACAATACAGGATCAAAGTGTTAGAGCTGCGTCTCCTTAAACTACGGGGAAGGTAGGTGCCTCCGCATACTGTCAGACAAGTTTATTAAGCTGTTTCATACTGAAGAGAGTACAGAAGAAACCCCCGTACTAACACACTCAGATCCTGCAACAGGACTTACCTACAAATGAAGCACTCTTGAATTTGAAATAAAAATGAACACTGCATGCAAAGACATTTTTACAAGTTTAAAATTAAACACAATTGAAAGTGTATTTCTCTTATATAAAAAAAAATCTCTTTTGTACAGTGCTTTTAGCTTTCAATATTAATTATTAATTAAAAATAATTAATTATTTTTAACACATAAAAATAAACCTAAGGTACAGGCTGAAAAGGTTTTTTTCTGTTTACATATTAGCAAACAAAATTAAATTTTAGATTATCTTTAGATAATAACACTTAATGATATCTACAAATTTCAACTGTCCACACTCCTCTCTGCTGAGCAAGCTACATCTCCCTGAACTAAGCACCTGCTGATTTACATTATTTTAGCCATTTACAGACCTAAGCATTTGTGTCACTAACCCAAATTCTCACTTTTAAAATTGTGGTAACACCGAAGGCAATCATCGATTGCTGTAAAACTTGAAAGTCCCATCAAGTGGCAGGCAGGACCCATAATATGCCCCAGTTTGCAAGTCACTGTTCAGAACTCATATCTTTAAGATTATTTGTTTTACCATTAAGATCATTCATTTTACAATTATAAGGTAATAAGGTAATTTTCACACTAACATTTACAAACTTTAAGATGATTTTTGTCTGTTTTTTTTTCTCTAAGTGAATGGCTAGCGAAATTAAGATACACGAATTCTAACCTTGTTTCATCACAAACTAACAGAAAGACAGTGATGCAGAGATGCTTCAAACCTAAAAGCAGAAGATACACACATCACTATGGCATCGTTTGCAGCGGTCATACACATGAATGAAAAAAAAACAATGCAGTAATAAGGACAGGTATGACAATAATTTGTATCATACAAAGCAGCCTTTACTTATTATCTCTTCCTCAGACCAAAAGAATATCACAGAAATCCCTAAATCTTATTAACTACTACAAAAGACCAGCACAAGCTAAGCACAACACAGAGAAGCTACCACATAACAAACTGATTTGCAGAGTTTCAAAGTAATTTCGGGTACTGCCTCAGATGTAACTTGGCCAGACAACACCAGCAAGCAATGCAAAGCATGCTACAGACTACAGGATTTACCTTCTTTGCAGCAGAGAAAACACACTCAAGTGGCCACAGCTCGTTTCAGAATCCAAGCTGTGCACAGGTTGCTGCTGTTAGCCAGCTACTGTAAAGCTACTTCAGATGCATCTGTTCGAAATTGCCATCAAAAAAATTAGCAGGTGACTACTGAGTGGGCAGAACCCACATCTCAACAGATTTCTCAGGTTTTCCTCATATTTTTCCCCTCTTAGTTCTAATTCCAAAAATACAAACCCCAATAGTCTTCACATGCCATACTACTACCGGTGTTCACAAACAAGATCTCATCCCTCACACTTGTGTAAACCTACTGACTTCGATGGATCTATCTAAGTCACAGCCACCTCTATTTTGAGCTACGAATCTTGTTTCGTGCACCAGCAGTTGTCTTCTGCTACCTTCTTTCAAAATCCAAAGAAAAATCTTACCTGTTATGCAGAAACACTGTTGTGAAGTAACTGTGGTCACCAATATAAGCTTACACATATGTGCTTTACATGGTCTTAGCAAAATGACACCGTATCATCACTTTTCTGAGCAATTACAAGTCACATTTTCAAATAAAGGCTGGCTCAAATGAAATTACATTTAAAACAATACAGCTATCATGAACTACACTGTTCTCAAAACCTACACTCCATTTAATTTCATCTATAAAGTGCAAAACTACACAATCTGTCATGGCAGCCCAGCATGCAAGTTGTTAACGATAAAGGCAATGGACTTCCAGTGGAAGATGGACACATTTAGTGGACGATGCACGCAATCCTGTTGGAGCAAGCAGGAATTTCATTACTGTGCTACATTACTGGTTTAAAAATGAGCTACCCTCTGCAAAGACAGGCATTTTACAGACTAACAGTTCTCTAGTAGTGCCTTTTTAGGAAGAGGGGAACTGTAAATCACCTAATATGAATAAGGAGAACTCAACTACCTCACAGAGCTGTACAGTATTTACAAAGCAAAACCAGGAAATACAGCATTTGTAAGAAAATATGACTTGAGGTGGGGAGGAAAAATGTGTGCTTGATGGTTGGTTGTTTTGGGGTTTTTTTGCCTTTTTTTGAAAACAACAACTTTTTGTAAGGGAACCATTAATTCACATACAATATAACTGCATTGCATATGGACTTACAAATGTGGTAAGTTAGCTACTAAGGCTGCCATCCTTAAGTATTTACTTCCAAAGGCAAGTTTCTTAGCTAACTGTACACAATCCCTTACATATTCTGTAACTGATATATAATAGAGCTATGCAATTTCAAGATAACAAAACCCAAGAAATCAAACTAATACCAGCTGAAACATGATCCACTGCAAGAATTCTAATTCCTCCCAAAGGAGAAACTTAGTTTTTCAAAGATACTATAAATAATACATGTATATTTTCACTGGTATCCACATTTCAAATCAAAGAAGCTGTGTGAGTAAGACCAGATCAACTAAAAATATGCCTTTAATAAGTACGTACCAGCAGAAATTCCCCTCTAAAATACTTAATTTTATTAGTGAAATGGTACCAAAGATAACAAGTATACAAACAATCTCTTTGCTCTATGCTACTTACACATCATAAATAAGACAGCTGTTGTTGCAAGACACAATCCTTCACAGTCTTCCTGTAAGCATACAGATTTGTCATTCTTTTATCAGAATAAGCTGTTTACCAGCCAACAGCATGTGGCTTAAACATCACAAAAATGACTGTCTATACTTTACATGGTAAAGCATTTTCTATAGTCTTAAATGTACACAGTGGCAAGAACATTAAATCCTATCGAAAATGAAGAGTGATTAAGCAGCTTCACAATCAAAGTGGGTTTCATTACCTTAGGAATTGGGCAAATTTTTCATTCCCTGTAATATGCTTTTTTTTTTTTTTTTTTTTTTTTTGGAAGAATGAACTATGCAAAGGAAAAGAAAAACAAACTGAAATCAAATAGCTAATATGCTATTATTTTTTTTTCCTAACTGAAAGAAGTAACTCTTCCCATGAGGTAAGGCAAGTCATTTGATTGTATTAAGTTGTATTAAAAATAATCTACTTGATTTTAGTTATAAGTAAGTTTTAAAGGTATGACTCTTAAGAAATCTCATGTAACCAATTAAATTAATTCAGAAAACATGAGGCATGTTTTACTTTGACAAAAATATTTGCTTTGTCATTCTCTTCTTACGTGCTTTCTCTCCAAAGAATGAAAAAGGAATCTCTACCATATATGTATAATTTACCTATGTAAATTATAACTTTTTTCTCCAAATTATTTATCCCCTTTTCTTTGCATACAGTTCCTTTTATATCACCCAACAGGTATCAGAGAATATGATGGAGAGGTAACAATTAAGGCCATACAAATGTAGATTAAATTTCTAAAGGGCTGTCTTTGATGCAGGTGACCAGAAAATGCTTTGTATTCAGCTCCTACTTTTGTACAGCGGTGGTCCCCAAATTGTATCTTTGCTTTCTTCTATAAATCTCTTGTAGAAATAAAAAATAAAAGTAAAAATGGAGCTTTACTATTTTAACAAGCAAACCAAACAACCGTTTCGACAAATCACTTGCATCCTTGTCTACAGTATGGTGGTGGCAAAATAGCAATAGAGATCATTTAAGATTTAGCTGAAAACGAGTAAAAGCACATATACATTTCTAGAAAATACCACATTTTAAGAAGGCACTAAAGCTTCTGCTTGTGCTCCCATATTTTTTTAAACAAACAAGAAAAACTTATTTTCATAATGGCACCTGTACTATTTGCAGCTGAACAGACACACTGCAGTACGGCTCAAAACGAAACTGTAAGTTCTGATAGTATCATACAGATGTGCTCACTTCTGGAAGGACAAAAGAAAACAACAAAACAAAACAACCCCAAAATAACCCAGTAAGCTGACCTATTATTTATAACATGGCAATGCTCCTTTTAGGAACAGAAAAGTAGCATGCACTGTTCAAATACTTTAAAAGAAATATTAGTTTTAGGGGTATTAGTAAGAAATTCTTTTAAATAATAAACCTCAAGAATCTCAAGCAGTAAGCAAATGAAAAACATACTAGTCAGTGGGTAATTAACCTAAGAATCGTACAACTGTGTTTAAAAACACTTTCCTTACAGTTGTCATTTACATTTACAAATGGTGTATATTTATGCACCATTTCCAAGCACATCAAACAGAACACATTGAAGTTTTTGTGGATTTTTTAACCCACAAGGTAAAACAACACAAAATTTATCAACAAGCAGTATTTTAAACAACCTTCAATGCATATCTTCAGCTTTTTTTTTGGGTAGTACAGGTTTACATCTTTCAGTTTCTACTTATTTGTAATAGCTTATGGCAAAACTTAACATAATCGTTTTACAAATAAGTACAGCCATCATGGAAATGCATGGATTTTCAGAGATGAATAGTTCAGATGGCATCTGCCTTTTCATGGTATAATTACTGGTCCGTGCTCCCTTGCTTTACAAGCAAGAAGACAAGAAAGCTATCACAAATTGGAAGAGCTACTAGTACTATCAACATGTTCAGGTTGATTGCTTTGACAGTTTCTTCCTCATTCCAGGAAATAAAAAGCTTTGGATTTCATTCCTTAGTTGAATCAAAGGTCCATTCTTTGCTTTAAACCTCTTCCATTTTAATTGAGAGGTTTTCTTCATTTGGTTGACAGTTCCCATTCTGTTGTAGTTTGACTTCATCTGTCCTTTGTGTATCTCTGTTGTCTACTTCCTTGTCAGTTTCTGAATTTGGATCCTCTTTAGTGTGATCTTTGTCCTACCAAAGATAAAATTATTTCACAAAAAAATCATATTCTTAGCATTACAGGATACAACTTCCAACCCACTCTTAGTATTTTTTATTGTCTCAATTTTTACATGCCCATCTTGCCTCAGCAATTTTTAGAAGAGCTTCTTCTCCTTTTTTTTTTAAAAAAAGCGCTTTCTTTTCAATTGGCTGAAACTAGGCACTCATAACAACCCATCATCCAAGAAAACATGGCCATAAAGTAATACATCTTTATCGTCAATATTCAGAAAAAAACAGAATAAGCACTGTTCTCACTCATGAAACCTGCGAGAAATCGCTCAAAAAATTAGTATTTCACTATATTTTCTACATAAATTAGGATTACCTTTTTTATTTCATATTTTTGGACAGGTATCTGATGCATTTTAGGAGAGTTCTTGTTAAGATAATTACTTAAGCAGTAGACAGAGCTATCTAAAACTGCTGTTTTGTAACAGTTCAGTAATTTGGAGTACAACAAACTACTGTTAAAGGCATGCTGCTTTTCAAATTCAAAGATTAAACAATTCGAAGCTGCTTCTTTTCTTAATCACACGACCTTCTATTTTGCACAAGAAAACACCATACAACTCTTCCCCAACCCTTCAACTTTTCTTCTGCAGAGTTCAATACACAGAGGAGGACCAAAACAATCAGGGAGAGGCTGAACTGCAGAGTGAAATTTTACTTAAAAGGTAATTTTTTCAGCTTGATAGCCAAGCTGTCCCTAAACACTGCTCCTTAGTTGCACAGTCTGCTTCCTGCCTGCTCATACAAATAGGCACCCAGCCATGTCCCACCATATGGCACAGAACAGGAAGAGAAACCAAAACAAGGTATTTCCGTAACCTATTCACACAAGCTCATATAGGACCAGTAAAGTTCAAACACAGAGACTAAATTCAAACAGTCCCACTAACACCAACTGTAGGTCTCCAACAGGCAAAAGCTAAACCCAAATGGTAATAATTTGCTAATGAAAACAGAAGAAGGGAGGAGGAAAACAAAGAAAAGAAGGGAGGGAATTTCAATAATGGCTCCACTAGCACCACTTCACTCTGCTTATCACTTGGTCACACAGCTTACCTTCAAAGTAGTGGTGTTTTTGTCAGATTTCTCCTTTCCCTCTTTTTCTTTACTACTTTTTTTCTTGGAGGTGGAGCGTTCTCTTTCTCTTCTTTCATTATTTGTATCTCTTTCTCTTTTTTTTTCTTTCTTGTTTCTGTTTAAGAGAATTTTTACTCAAATCAGAATTTGATCCAGCAGCAACAACCTTCAAACCACTTAACTGCAAACTAAACTCTCATCTGTGGGTTCTCCAAAAACCCCAAAACATAACAAAAATCCCTTCATAAAGACAAGGGGATTTTTTTTGACTGAAGAGAGTTAAAGAATCCATGTGTTCAGTACGCGTGGTATTTGCAAAGAGAAAACCAAATTAATCGGTATCTAATGAAGGGCTCTTACTGATTTGAAGCGAGTTTGCATTGCTGACATATTTGAAACTCTGTAGTTGAAAGCATACCAAAGCTCAAATCCATGAAGGTTTTTGGTTTGGTTTTGTTTTAAATTAAAACTGAATCATACTGACCAACTCAAATAATTTGAGATGATTAGTGCAAATACAGTAAAACAATGAAAATACTATAAACTCTTCCTACTTTACAGCTCATTAACTTCTAGGTTTACATCAAACTGACCTTCTTGGAGAAGGAGTTCGTGAAGACTTTCTTTTTGTTGTTTTGGATGTTTTAGGAGACTTGGAGGGACTTCTACTCTTCCTTTTACGTCTTTCTCTACAGGACAAAGAAATTCAAGATCAAAGAATAAAAATAATAAACTCAGGAACTGCATAAAACCAGAAAACTTTTAAAATTATCAGACACAACAATTAACTAAATAACCCCAAATTTAACATTATGTATCCCCAACAATATATGAACTGCAGAAAGCAAAAAAAATTTTTAATATGTTTCAGTTTGGTGGGAAAGGGGAGGCTGGAAGTGGGAAAAAAAAGATTGTGTCCTTTCAGATTTCAGGGTTTTTTTATCCTCACATGCTTGTATGTATCCTGGTAACAAGGGAAACACACTGAATTCACCAATTCTGTATTAAGTGTTTCTTCAGTCAGGGAAAGAATCCAATTGAATGAAGAGCCACATTAAGACAAAAAGGCATAACTTGAGCAATAGAACTTCAGAACCTAACATTACAACCTGATGCTCACTGCAATTTCAGTTCAGCCTGACTGAAGTTTAATTAATAAACACATGAGCTGGCATTCCTATTGCTTTAGAAGCAAACAGTGTAAACTAAAGCTCAAGCTGTTGTCAAAATCAGAATAAATTAGTATCTATTTTTTCCCAGCAGTCCTTGCTCAGCAAACAGAATGTTATCACTCTCTAACACACTAAAGAGCTCGTAATATTTTACAAAACGGCTGTTGTACATAGATATATGGAGTTTGCTGAAGCTGCTATGATGGCATTTAATCTTGAATAGAACAAAACATTAAATAACTGGTTGCAAACAAACTGAGGCACATGTCAAAATAAAACAAAAATTGAGCCAGTAAAGCTTCATCCAACATAAATGTAGAACCCATCTCTGTCTAAGCAAGATGATTTTTGCCTATCACCTGTTCATAGAGCAGGAAAAACAGACAGGAGGAACTATCAAAGAAAAACATGGAAGTTAAAAACTAATTGAGAGGCACTTCAAGATACGGCAAAAAAGCTACACTTAGGCTTACCAGCTTTTGCAGTTCACAACATTTGGTGTATTTTTATCTTCAATATTCAGAAAGGCAATGAAATCAACAGTTACCAGATAAATTAAAAAAGGATATACTAAGATGCCTAGTATCTTAGTCTGGGTTGATACTCTGTCCTGGTTTGGGCTAAACCAAACTAATTCTGCTTCAGTGCTTTAACTTTTCAGTTAAGTCTCCTCTAACTAACGGCACTGTCTGAAACAGCAGCCTGTTTTTCCAGACAGTGACTGCTCCCAGCAGTGATAAGGCCTGATGTTTACAGTCCGTACCAAGGAATCGTGTGCAGAGAGGCCCTTGCTTGTACTTGTTCTTGTAGCGACCAAGGTCACTGCTCATTCTTGTACTCCACGTTGGGGTGCCGGGAGTGAAAAGGGTCGCAAGCACGTAAAAGGTCGCAGCTGCAGGGAGTAGCGAACCGGACAGGTGACCCAAACCTGACCCACAGAGTGTTCCATCCCATATACTGCATATTCAGTATAAAGCTGAGGGATCACGAGTGTCAATCTCTCTTCTTCGATGGCCGACATGTGAGCAGGACTCTGTCTATTCTTCTGTCGTCAATCCCGATCCGAGCATCCCTGAATCCAGTGCCTGAGTCCAGCTCCTGCATCTCGTCCCCGTCTGCTGCCGAGTCCAGCCTGGGACTGCCCCAGTGCCAGCCCTGCAGTGTGGTGGTGACGTATCGTCATCAGGGTGGGGGGAGTTGGGTTCGGTATTGGTGTTGTATCTATTTGCATATATTTGTACATATTGTATATATTTCATTATTTCCTTATTCTTATTATTTTATTTTCTTTTCTTGTTATTGTTTCATTAAAGCTGTTTTAGTTTTATTTTCCAAACCGGAAAGTCTCTCTCCCTTGTTCTCTCTCCTTTCCCTTTTGGGAGGAGAGAGAGGTTAATAGAGAGCGTCTGTCACTTGTTAGTGGCCGGCCCAGCCTCAAACCGTGACATACTCTGACAACACTATCTACCAGGACAAAATTTCATAACTAGTTTATTCAGCAGGCTCTCAAGTTTGATTAATTCTTCGGTAAACAAAAAACATAAAGTGCACTCAAAATCATGGAGAGAACAACACAATCATTGATCAGCTGTTCATTAGTTAACATGCATTAATTTATCATCACTTTTTCAGATGTGGATACTGGAAACAGACATGCTATTCTGACAGTGCTCCCACTTGGGCTACATTGAGTACATGCCCACTTCATTTTGCTTTCCAGCATACGTATCTGTGAGCAACCAAGTGTCTTAGTAATTGTGTTCAAACTAGAAACTGTTCGTGAAATCTTATTTTCAGTTTCTGCTTTTCATATTTGAAGTCGAAGAACTACAACTGTGTCTCACAGTATTTGTTCCCATCTCTGTTACATTTGTTTATTCAAAGATTTCTGTGCACCTGTTTTTTTAACACTCTTAAGCAATATTAATACAGCAGAATTTAAGAAAAAAACAAATGATTAATATTTTCATAGTGATCCTGCATATCTTAATCATACACAGAACTAACATTCCGCTAGCCTGCAGATGTCTGCTGGAAAAGGAGACAGCTTCTCCTCTTCCTCTGGTCTGTGTCTCTTCCTTCCACCAGGAATCACAGATAGCCATCTGATTTCTGCTACTTGCATGCTATTTGTCAGTAAAGCAAGGCCAGTTGCCACCAAGTTCTTAGAAGGTCTTGTATGTCCTATTCCACCTTCACCTATTCTCCAAAAAGACAACTATTTGTCCAGTATTTTACACTTGTCAGGTAAAGGATCATCAGTCCTAACTCAGTGCTGCGCTGCAAATCCAGGCAGCCGAAACGCCAGTTTGTTGGATAGTCTTCTCCATAAAGGTCTGAAACCATTTCGACTAGTCAACGTTAATCACCAAAGTACACAGATGCCCTAAATGCAAGCTAAGTTGGACTCTGTGAACCAAACTAATCACAGTAACTTTTCAGAGAACAACAGAATTACTGAAGAGCCCTCTGGAGACAACCTAGTCCAATCAGGTATTCATACGCATTAATAAGATGCCCCCTCAGCCTTCTTTTCTCCAGGCTAAACAATCCCTCAGTCTCTCCTTGTATGATGAATGCTCCAAGCCCTTTATCAGGTTTGTGGCCTTTCACTGGACTCACTCCAGACTGCGTGTCTCTTGTGATGGGGAGCCCAGAACTGCACACAGGATTACAGATGAGGCCTCACCAGTGCTGAGGGAAAGAATCACCTTCCTTGACCTGCTCACAACACTGCCTAACGCATACTGCTGGCCTTCATGGCCGCAAGGACCCCTAGGTCCTCTCCTCCCAGCCAGCCTTCCAGCCAGTCAGCCCCCATGTTGCACTGGTGCAACAGTTACTCCTCCCCAGGCGCAGGACTTGGCCTTTTTCCTTGTTCAACGCCATGAGATGCCTGTCAGCCTGTCCTTCCTGTCTCTTGAGGTTTCTCTGCACGGCAGCACACTCCTCTGGTGTACCAGCCTCTCCCTCCAGCCCTGTATTATCTGCAAACTTGCCGAGGGTGCGCTCTGTCCCTCGGTCTAGGCCACTGGTGACGATGTTCAGCAGCACCATCCCCAGTACTGACATTCTAAGGATAATGCTGTATCTGGAGAAAGAATCATAATTCCATATAAAAAAGTGTATTTCTCTCATCCTCCATCTTCAAAAGAACATTGTCCATATTTAGTAACATCTGTATAAAAAAAATTAACTTCATGTCAAAGTAGGGTTTTGTACTCTGAGTCCACTAGAAGAGAGGCACTAATTTTCACTAGAATTCTTTGCCCAAGTACACTGCATTTGAGCCTTCCATGGCGCTTTCTTAAATAGCAAGATTCTTGAAGGGGGGCGTAATTGTTGCAAACTAGAGTAGAAATTTTTGATAACATCCAGCTCATTATGCTTGCTACCTTACATTAGGAACTGGCTCTTCCACCAAGGCTCTTATGTGAGCTACACATTGTCAAAATGTTCTTCTACACTTCTTAATTCAACACTTCCGAGGCCTACAGACAAAAAAATGTATTTTCAAAGCTGGCAGAACTACTTCTATTCTGTGTAGGTCTTCAAACCATGAAATGATGCTAAAAATGCATTCAAACAGGAAGCTGCATATACTTGAAGAAGCCACAGTATTTTGCCCATAAACCTCCAAAACAACATGGACATTTCACATAACACAAATAGAATGTTCAGAAACCATTACACCCTTTTCTGCCTTGTATGAACTATGAACTCCTGAATTTTGAGGACTGTGGGAATTTTGCTTTTGTCCAGTGAAATGATTATAATACCTAGAACTTCTCCTAATTCATCCAGCATGTTGTTCTCTAAAGGTAACAGATAAAATTTGGTATCTAAATTTGACATGATACTATTGAATTCCTAATTCTAGAGGTATTCAGAAAGGACTTTTTCGACCAAAGTTTCTGAACTTAAGTTAGCCACAATGCTTTTAGAATATGCCTGAGTTAGTCCACTTACAGAGCTTATAAACAATCTCAGAGCCTCATTTTGCTGTATCGAATTTATACAGACTCTCAGCCAGTTCAGCTTCTGTCAGATGCAAAAACAACAGCTACATTAACATGAATGTTTTCCTGTTTACTATCAGCATTGTTTAACGAATGTCATTTTTTGCTTGTACCTGGCCATCTAACCAGCTAAACAACGTATCCTTATCGGCCAGCTAAAATACATTCAGCTTCCACAGGACAGACCACCAAGTGACATGCTGCTTCCCGCTGTTCAGCCATCCAGCTGAAGAGTGGCAAGTACTATCACCCAACAAGATATACAGACCAACACTGTACAGTATGTAAGTAACCAAGGAACTATGTAACAGTGACTCAGTCTTTCATCAGGACAAAGATGATGTGTGATGTTGCTTTATCAGAACTTTTGGATGGCTCCAACAGAGAGAAATTGCACAAAAAGCACCTACTTACTGTCCTCAAGGACTATACTATATGGTTATGTGAAAGGCAAGCACCAGCAGCCCAACAAGAAACTACGTTCTATCAGGCATCAGATAGAGGTCTTCGTAATAGATTTGACTTTATTGGAAAATCTACAAAACAGAAATAATTCAAATATAATTGCCAAGAGACATGGTGATATTGATACATGAAAACTAGGATGGTACCTCACTGAACTGACAAGATAAAAAAAGCATGAAACTGTTCTAAACAAACCTGCTGGAGCTACGAGATCTTCTTGAAGAGCTATAGCTTCTTGGGGGTGTTCTGGATCTCTTCTCTTTCTTCTTTTTATCATCTCTCTCTTTTTCTCTTTCTCGATCCTTCTCCTTATCCCCATTTTTTTCCTTTTCTTTGTCTCTGTCCTTCTCTTTGTCCCCTCCTTTGTCCTTCTCTCCCTCCTTGTCCTTCATCTTCTCTCTGTCCTTCTCTCCTTCTTTCTCAGTATCTTCTTTTTCCTTGTTCTGGTCTACTTCTTCTCTGTCTTTTTCCTTCTCTTTATCTTTCTCCTTTTCCCTGTCCTTGTCCCTGTCCCTATCTTTGTCCTTATCCTTGTCCCTGTCCCTATCCCGGTCTTTGGCTCTCTCTCGATCTTTATTTCGCTCTTTATCCCTCTCTCGGTTTCTCTCTTTATCTCGCTCTTTTTCCCTGTCTTTGTCTCTGTCTCGGTCTCTCTCCTTCTCCTTGTCTCGGTCTCTCTCTTTCTCCTTTTCTTTGGCCTTTTCTTTTTCCTTGACCTTTTCTTTGTCTCTTTTCTTGTCCCTGTGAAAAGCCAAACACAAACCTATTAATTCATCTTTGAACTTTCAAATTAAAATTACAACTAACTCTTTAGCATACATTATTTGCTCAAGACAAAATATGCGTCTCTTGAAAAACAGTAATTATTCAGTATTTTAATTTTCCACCCCTGTTCACCATGAGGGAAAGGTTATATAGCTAGGAAAAATCTGGAAACTAAACCCCTGGAGAAGGGGAAGCTAAAATCAAATCAAACTGTTATCTTCAGAGCAATGTTATTACACTTTGAGAGAATATGTCTCTTCACCTCACGGTTATGTTATTATACATACATAAATTTCCTCCATTTTGTCAGGAGTGAGACAAACTCTTCAATCTGTAAATCCAGTCTTTACTAAAACCTGTGTCCACATAAAATGGACTACAGATTAACCACCTCCCACATGAATAAAAACAGCTGACTGACAAAAGTCTTTATTCTACAGTGTTCTCTCACACAGATATCCTGGAACTGCTTGGAAGTCCAAAACCAATTAATACATAGAAATAAAAGTTACAAAATTTCACAAAACCAAGTCCTTCAACAGGCAAAGGTAAGGTCAAAACTCAATAAAGACAATTCAATCACCTGTAATGTCACTGGGAATTTGGAAAAATTTTTAAAAATCGTTAATGCAGTAAAAACAGACGGAAGGCTAACAGAATAAACCAGCTTCTTTGGGACAGGCAGAATGATACATGTTCATAAAAAGAACAACAGTGAGGAAAATTCCAGCTGATGTTCTAGTCATCAAGCCAAACAAAAATTGATTCGCTTACAGCTTTGTCTGGAAGGTAACGTTTTGGAATAGGATTATTTGGAAGGGCGAGACTCCATCCTTCCTTTCTAGCAGAGAGACACATGACTCCTAGACCTGCCTCTAGGACATATGAAAATGAGCAATTGTTCAGAGAGAGAAACAGGAGAAAGCGCATAAGGAAAAGTTGATTAGCAGGCCTTTACACATCCAAGAGAACCAGACTGACAGAAGTTGCTGTGTCTATTGCTGTTGGCACCTGTTCTAGGATTTTTAAAGATTCTCAAAGAGACTACTTCTCACATCAAAGGTCCCAAGCACAGCCCCCATCTTCTTCAAGGGAAAAAGTGTTTGGCTGTATCTTGTTCTTAACTGCTAATAAATAGTAGGCTGTTGTATGCTCTGTGACCTGACAACTTCTGTTCCATCAGGTTTTAGTAAATACTTCATTAGAAGTCTCAGAGAAGGAATGTAAGGTCATAAAGATGAAAGAGCACACAATCCCTGCAACAGCAAAGAGTCTCACAATGAGCCAAAAATTGCCTTTCAGTTAACTTATCACAGAAATTATCACAGGACTTGTCCCTTCCACTGAGCAGATATCTCAAGAAGCTCCAGATAAAAGCAATAGAGAATCAAAAGCATCCATCAGTAAAGCCCGGCTAGCTACGTAGCCTACTCCTGTTTCCACCGAGGTCTGCACTTCTCTTTCCCACAAAACTTGCCTCAAAAAACAAGAGGCAACTGCACAGCCTAAGTATGAAGCTCCCTTTAAATGAACCAGGGGAATTACAGAGATGTAACAGAAAGAAAAGTACCAGGACTTCTATTCACGAAGCTACTTTCATAGGCAGTTTAGTTTTGTGAATATTCACTACTTCACCCTCCAGAAAATTATGTTATTATCTTGTTGGAATGTCACAGTTCAATAATTAGATGATCAGACTTAAAGGTAAAACACAAATGTATTAGATCTTGAAATGCAAATATGCCATATAACACACACATGCATTTGTGCCCACAGCAGTGCATGACCAATATGAGATATCCAAAGGTGAAACTAAAAGCTCATGTTCTCAGGATGAGGGATCAAGTTCAGCCTATATCCAACCTTCTGAACAGATGTAGGTCAAACAAGCATCATCCACTTTTTTCTGAGTTGCACAGGCTACACAGAACATTCCTAATCTATTGCTTAAAGTCTGGCAATTAAAGCTAGCTATTTCCAGTCAGCTTGCACATTGGTATAGATGGAGACTAAACTATAAAAATTTAGGTACCTCAGTGTGGTGGTTTAACCCCTGTAGGCACCATATGAGCTACTAGGAAGAAAATTAAGTCTATCCCAGCCAAAACCAGCCCACTCAGCATTAAAATTTACTTTCTATTCTTTTGACCCACAGACAAAGCCTAGGGAGAGGCTAAAGCATTTAGAGATTCCACTCTTTACCACCACCTAAAAGGTTTGTTACATTTTTTCCAAAACTCTGTACTGTGTGACAAGAACAGTATAATTTCTTAGGAATGGAACTCACCGAGAACGAGAGCGACTTCTTGATTTCCGCCTTTCCCTAGATCTAGACCGCTTTTTCAGAGGACTTCTGGATCTGCGTCTGTCCTTGTGTCTTGACAGTGACCTGTTGCCAGATCTACTTCTATATGAACAACACCAGAAGAAAAATAATATTGAAACTTCAAAAAATTATGCCAACCAGCAAAGGAAAAAAAAACATAAACCTTGTCTCACTACATAAAATTACATAGAGTTACACATCAGTCATATACTGCCTATCAACATTTTTGCAAATGGGAATACTTTATGCTTCACCAGGTGCACATGCTCCCCTTTGAAACAATGCACAATTTAGACAGTACCCATGTTTCGTAATAACCTCCATGAACATTCTGGAAAATATAAATTCATATCATATTACGATATTTGTCCTTAGTAGATTACAGTGCATAAAATCTAATATAGACAATTTCTAGCAGCTTGTAAAAATAATTAGTTACATTTTGTTCTTTTCCAGGCCCAGTCACTTATTGCAGTCTTGGTCACTGAGGAAAGATGGTTTTAACTGGTCTCCTTTTGCTTTGTTCTCCAGGCTTACAATTTAACCAAACTTTAAAAAACCAAACAAAACTAAACCAAAAAAACCTACTATATGTGGTTCAGCATTTAGCCAAATTACCTTTTCAGTTGAAAGGATTTGTTAGCATGGATTTCAATTTCAAAAATTCTCAAGGAAAGGAATGAGCACTTACTATATGATAAATACGCAATGCAAATAATGTGCAGATACTCTGACAAAAATCAAATTAAAGTCTTCTGATAAAACATATATAGTATAATTGCAGATTTGATGAAGAAAATAAGAGTTTTAAAATTTTACTGTATTCTTTTTTCCAAAATATTCCTTCTTTTTGGAAGATCATACTCCCTAGGAAAGTAAAAATAAAAAGCTGGATTTGAACATTTAGTTTCAAAAAACCCCATCACTGGATATTTGCCTGAGAGGTTACAGCACCATGAAGTTTAACTTGCCAAAGACAGAAAGGCCATGTATGTTACTCAATAAATCCTGAAGAACAGGGAGGTACAAAAAAATATCAGCTTCACCTGTCTTCTGCAGCTCAAGGCACATAGAGTAATATACATGAAGAGGAGAGGACAAGCAACCATTTTTTACCTACTGCTTTCCTCCACTTATCAGCACAGAAATACCAACTAACTACAGGGCAAATTAAATACAATTGAGTCAAAATAAGACCTTGAATAAATTTTCTATGATAGAGATGGAAACGACTTAAGTGTTTTATAAAACAGTAAAACAGGGAAGTGGTAAGGATAGTTTATTCTTAAGGATGAAGTTGCCTCAACAGATCAGACTAACCCTTTTTCAGCATGTTCTCAAAACTGACAGTAGCAGTGGTAAATCGTTTTAAAAAACCCAACAAAACAAAATATAACCATCAACAGTCGTTAAAAGCTCAGGTTTTCCACAAGTAAAAAAATGTAAGTTTATCTTCTAAAAATTAATTTGATTTGTGTGAATACAAGATAGCACTGAGATTACTGCAGCATAATACAAAATAAAGCTTGTTTTTCAGCTATGTCCTGAGTCAGAAAAACAGCAGAGAAGCAAGCAATAAGGAAGTAACCAAACGATTCTTCTTGCATTAAAAAGGTACTTAATATTTTGACATCATTAGGTAACAAGCACAGTGCTGTCTCATTATTGTAAAAATGAAGCCTGCACTTAAGACCTGTTTGGTAGTATAACTGATGGTTAACCCCTCCGGCCAGCTTTTCTGTATCTAAAAGAATTCTAGCTGCCTTGTTAAAAGTCGATGTATGAAAGGATGCAACAGAGCTATTGCTGCAACACTGATAACACTCACCGTTTTAAAGTGCAAGCTGTCAAATACATTCTGAATTTCTTCTTTTTTTTTTTTTTTTTTTTGTTACTTAATGCAGCCAAATATCTTTAGATTGATTACGTAAATGCTCAAAAGACATTCCTAACATTGAAAGAATCTACACCATTTCAGAAAGTGTTTATGAGCCTCACATTGCAAGACTGTCTCATTCCTGGAAAAAATCTCAATAGGTACACTTTAAGGGTGATCTAGTAATTTTATTCCCTCTCATATTCCAAAGCCTGTTTTGGAACTGAACAAATTCAGCAAAGCAAACAAAATAGGAAGAATGAAAAAACCAGCCCTAAAGACTTTTTCTTCTGCTTTTAAAAACCATAGCTTTGCATTTACAGTACAGTAAATAAAAATACTGCATTTCTTAACTCGATGTTTGGACGTTCAGGACATCAGGAACTTTCCACTAGCAAAACTAGCCAGCCTATCCGCTCAGGCTATTAAAAGTAATCTACACATTCGATCCACAAAATATACGTATCTATTTCTTTTTAAAATACAGGTCACAAAATGATACTATGCTATATGGCACAAAATGTATCATGAAACCATAGAAACGGTTATTCTATATGGCACAAAAAGTGCCTTCTAGTGTGTTTTAACTGAAAGTAATCCTGAAAACATTTAGCATTTAAAGAGAATTTAAAGAGTGTCTGTTCAGAGACAAAGCTCCTGGTTACCCTGACCGGCTCAGTGTAAGTCAATAATCTTCTCTACAGGGATACTTGTCTTCTAACTCAGTAAGAAATCTCAGTAACCACCACCACCATTCAAAAAACCCCAGTCTGATCTCTTACTCCAAAATAAAAACCATACCTACCTGTGTTTTGAGTGTGATCTTTTCCTTCTAGATCGGGATTTTGAGCTAGACCTGGATTCTGAACGAGAATGGGAACGAGATCGACCGCCTTTTCTTTCACTGCTCTTTCCAGACTCTGAGAGGAAAAAACCACTTTGCAGTGTAAGCTCAGAACATTTAAAGATCCCAGTTAACAATCTGGCACAAGTGGAATGTACCACATATAGTGCAAGGGGCCTACTCTTTGCACATCTTCCTTCTTTGCAAATATCCTTCAGAAACATCCAAGAAAGTCATTGCATATACTCGTTGAGTGCAGCCATCCTGCAGCAGTACACATAAACCAGATAATTATAAACAGCTAGCTCTATTAGGAATGGGATTTATGTTGCTGCCACAATGCACAAGATCACAACATGTTCTTCTTTTGGTCTATTATGTAATATAATTACTTTCTTTTTTTAAAAAAAATAACCTAAGAAGAATACAGTCAATTTAGAGGGCATCATTTTAAAAACAAGCATAAAATGTTAATAATACTTAGTACTTTCTATACTTTCAGGTATTTCAAACATTGTACAAATACTGAAGTTCTACTCCTCAAATGCTGTTTTGCAGGAGACAGAGAGAACAGTGTGAAAAGTTTGATCCAAAGGCCAGGAAGCCACCAGAAACTCCTAACAGTGACTTCACCAGACTTTGGTTCAGACTCTAAATGGTTATTATTCTGCTGCTTACCACTGAGGATATGTCAGATCTATTTTCCTTCCAACCTTAAAAAACAGAAGACAATACTCACCCACCCCCCAAAAAGAACCCTTCAAGACTCCGCACTATCAAACCTACATAAGATGTCTAGGTTTGTTAATAAGATGACAAAATCTCACTGAAGAAAAGAAAAAGGATCTCAACTGGAAGTTTAAGTAGTTGAGAAATTTTTTCATGCTGTGGTTTTGCAATCAGTTTAGGTCAGCAAAAATCAGCACTGAAATGTCTGTCTAACCTCTCAATCCATCAACACCTTCCTCCTTGACTGGCATCTCAGTGATAACAGGGATCAGGGAATCAATCTGGGTGAAAAAAAGTCCTTTAAAATACATTGTTTTTTCCCAGATTCATTGTCTGATCCCATTTGCCATGAGGATGCACACTGTCTTGAGCCAGCATGAAAAAGAGCATAACACAGGGACAATATTAACTGCTGCAGATAAGAAAGCATATTACTGCTTTCACAACCATGCTAGGTCCATCTGATCGTGACACTATGGCATTAATGGGTGCTAAAGGAGAACAAAACAAAATATAAAGCATTTTCTTCAAAAAGTTTGTAAGTACTTCGAACTTAAAAGCACCATCATTAAGTATTAATTTAGTATTAACTTTGTATTTTTGAAAATATTCAGTGGGCATGTATCTGAAAACAAGACATGATGAAACAAAGAGTCAGCTTCATTCCACTGCTTTGTTGCATGAATACAATTTTGATTCTTTTCTTTTTTTTCCAACGTATATTGTTCACCTTTAAGTACCATTTTCCTGTGTTTGAAAATGCTTTTAAAAGTGTGTGCCAAGGTACACACAGAACATGTCTGTTAGGTAATGAACATAATAAACCTACCTGGCTCAATAGCAGCAGATATGAAAGACTGGGCTTCCCTTACTCTCTTCATCACTTCTTCCAGTTCCTTGGCAGCAGCCTGTGGTGTCATTTCAGGAGGCTTCACTATCGCATTATTGGAGTGATTTATTCTAAATTAAGGAAAAATAAAACCTTTAACTCCCAAATACCTGAAACAGGAAAATGAAAAACAACTACGAAAGGAAAACACCTTAACTTCCATGTATGACTAAAAACTTCAAAGTTCAGCAAAACTACAGATTTGTCCTAATACTCATCTGTTCTGAGTATCTGAAATGTCTTTTATTGCTGTCAAAGCTTACCACTTTTGAATAAATGTGGCACAATACTTCCGTGTTAAAATATTTTCTAGTATAAGTCTAGAAATCTATTTCTCTATTTCAGATCAAATCTCTATGTTAAGGCCTACTGCATACATGCACACATTATATAGAAAGCTTAATTAGTATTAAGGACCTTGCAGATTCTTTCACTATGATAGCTTCCACTATTTCAACATTAAATGTAAACGTATTTTACTCAATGCCATCCATGTTCTTCTCAGAGAAAGTTATGCTTAACCTTGAAATGAGAGTTTATAAAAATGTTCCAGTTTGCTAACAACAGGTCCTTATATTGAAAAAATATTCATCACAGCAGTTTCCTGCACATCGGAGTCATAAATGTCATAACGATACAAAGAAATCTCTCATTCAATAGTAATATGGATAATTAATTTCTTACTTCAGTGGCCTGTCTCCAAACATAACTCCATTAAAGGCAAGAGCTCGAGGTACAGAATTTTGGTCTGCAAATTCCACAAAAGCAAATCGTGTTGGTTGTGTCTCATCACCTGCCATTCGCACAAATTTGACTTCTCCAACTTGCTTAAAGAATTCAAGCAGCTGATCTGCTGTTGTAGTCTAGAAAGAGTTGAAGAGCTCAGCTGAAGTAAAATACACAATGAAACTCACTTATCCAATGTATCAGGTAATCTAAGAGCTACAGATGTTGGAAAGACATCTCATCGTTATTACACAGGCAACATAAATTTGGTAATGTTACACTTTAAAAAAGACAGGTATTTTTTCTTCCATTAATCTAAAGAATATACTACAATTTAAAACAGTGCAACCTCAAGCCCTGAAGTCCTATACCTAGGTTAAAAAAGCATTTGCACAGCATTTTGCACTTTTCAGGCAACTCATTTGATATAACTGCTGAAGAATTTCCTCATACATCTGTGCCCAAGCTATTGACTGTGAATTTTGATAAATTAAGGTAAAACATAAAACAATATTAAAAGACTTAGCATTCTGTTTTTCTACTAGCTTCCAGCTTGTTTTACATTATCGTGATCAAAAATACTTTTACACTCTAGTACATTATGCCAGTCAAAAAACCCCAAAATAAAATACTTATATTGCCATCAAAAGCAGATAATGTTTCAATTAATTCAATCAATTGCTGAAAAATCAAGTTTCTGACAGACGTAACCCTCCTGTTACAGATACTCAAAGGTATTTATAATAATATTGCAATTTCCACTAGGACATATCATTCCATCTTACTGTACTCAAGCAACTGCACAGTGTTGTGGGGGACAAGTGCCATAATATCACCCCTTCTGCTCAGCTAACACAACCCAGCTTGACACTCAATCAACACACACAATCGTAAGCACATTTCCAGCTACAGTGTGATTTCTCTGGTATCCTTCCAGAACGAATTCCACAGTCTGGTCTGATCTGACTGGCACAGGAGCATTCAAAATCTGAAATATCATTAGTAACCAAAAAGAATATTTTTTGTGTTTAAATTCCTATTGTCATCAACTAAGGAAATCTCTTTAACATGTAAGATTCAAATTCATAAACTATAATTCTACACCTTCCATTAGTATGTTCATTACACAAAAAAAAAGCTACCTGGGAATTCAAGTTTCCAACATAGACTGTTCTCCTGATTTCATCAATTTTGGATGGATCCACATTCCCCATAATCGGTGGTTGTGGTATTTCTCCCAGTGCCGTAATGTTAGGGTCCAATGCTGCTGCTGGTATAGCCCCCAAAGTGCCAAGGGAAACACCAAGCTGGAAAACACAAAAACAATATGCTTTCCAGCCAAGCACTGGCGGGAGATACTTCACTTGTCAATACTTGCCTGCCTTGTGCACTTCAGTAAAAATATATCTTAATGAATACAGACAGTCCTTTAAACTTTAAGGTCACAGCTGAGCACTTCTTTTTAAGAATAAAAATCTACACATAAATAACCTTCTATAGTTAAGATTTTCTGTGGACTATCAGTTAGCATCTTATCAAAGAAGTCTGGCCAGGGATGCAGTATATCAATCAGAAAACATATAGGCTTGAATTTCTAATGTTTACAGTCAATCAAATTGACTAAGATCTCTTCAGACACCACTAATAGTCTTATTTTTTTGCCACGACAAGTATCAGGCATAGATGAGGAAGTGCTGAGCCCTTGCTGAGCCCTTGCCCAGCAAGGGAAGAAGGGAATTTGCCGTGCCCAGGGCCTATTTGTTCTGTAACACATACCAGTCCATCAAATGGACAGATAAGGTACCTTTTGGACAAACACATCACATAAAAGGAAAGACTAATTACAGTTGAAATGCAAAGGATATTAAGTCTAACTTCTTCCCCTACAAACACAGCCACTTTCTAAAGAATGAGGACAATGCAGCTCTCATTTTTGGAACTGGGAATTGAAATCTTTGCTGGAGAATCTTAAAAAAAAAAAATCACTTAAAAGTCACTACTAAATTGGTCTGCTGAGTTCCTGCTTTGAATTTTATTTTCTCCACCCAAAAAGCAACCATCTTTCCAGAAAACAAATTTTCAACAAGACACCAGTAATATTTTTTTTTCTTACAAAAGGGAAAACTACTGTATTTTAACTTGAAATTTTCCCTGAATAGGTCACAGCAGCCTGCTCAGTCAAGAACAGCTTACAGAGGCAAAAGGGAACTGAGCAGAAGTAGCAGCAGCTAGCTCCCATGCTTTTTATAGTGAAAACATTGACAGGCAAACAATCAAAAGCCCTGTCATAGAGATAACAAGTAAAAGCACTTAGCAGCATTTTAGTATTCTGAAGAACTATGTCAATGTAACTACTATGTTTTAACAAATTTTTAGGAGGTGGATAGACTGCCACTGGACCAAATTAATGGGTCTAGGGAAGCACAACAATTACAATGGGCACAACCAAAAGCAGTATTTACCCACTATTTTACAAAATAATAACCAGAAAGAAAAACCCAGGAAAGGTAGTGCACGAACATTTTGTGATCTACCCTCAAAAGAAGCACCACAGCTAAACCCTCCCTGATGTAGCACACGACGACAACATCCACAGATCAGATAGTTCTTGCTCTCTGAACACAGAAAAGGCTACTGAGTACAGAAGAAACCAGAGATCAAAGAGCAACTGAATTTTACTTACTGTAGTCAAAGGGGTTGGTGTAGGTATAGGAAGCAACCCTGCACCAGGCATCAGGCTTGTCATAGTAGGAGCAGGCGCCAATAGAGAAAGGGCTTTGGCTTCATCTGGGATTTTACCTGAAGAAGCAAATGAAAGCATTACAGAGTTGAAACACTACACAGATGTTACTCTTTCTATGATTTTACAATTACCCTTGCATTTTAAAATGTAATAAATAACAATGAATCTATCTACCAGATCCTTACAAAAAAATAAGAACTTAAGTTTTTCCTTTTACCCTGCTCTACTAGGAAAAACAAAAGTGAGCAAAACTTCTAAGACTAGCAATCTCATTAATGGATTATTATTTTAAAAACTGAAAATGTATACAATTATTTAACACTTTGAGCTATGGGTCACCTGTACTGGAAACTTAATGTTCATGAACCAAACGATATCAAGCATGGACGCTTTCCCAGGGCGGTGTTTTCGCGGTGATCGAAAGTTGTTTTACACATGACAACCGTTCGTGTTGGCTGCATCACTAATAGCACACAGAACATCAGATACAGAAAAGAAGAACATTTTTTAAAGTTTAATCCCCAGAAATGGCAAATAACCAAATCAGTTAAAAAAAAAAAAAACACCAAAAAAAACAAACCAAACAAAAAACAAACAAACAAACAAAAAAAACACCAAACCAAAAAAAAAAAAAAAAAACCAAAAAAACCCCAAAATATGTGCTAACTGAAATTTGTGCTTTGTTTTTATTCCTCTGGTGCTATCTACTTTGGATGCAAAAATAAATAAAAAGAAAATAAAAACTACTGAACTACTGTGACTCCACACAACACATACTACAAGTGAAGTTGGAGGTGGAGGAGGGGAGGGCAGAAAAAAATTAAGATTTGTACTGTCTCACATTCTAAGTCACCTCAGTTTATCTGAAACTTCAATAAATTAGCCTTAAATTTACTGATTGAAGAAAACCACAACTGACCAGCTAAGCAAGCTGTATCTTCCCAAAATATGCATCTCCTACTATTTCAATCAGATTATATTTCCCCTGACATGCTAAAAATTTAAGTAATATCTAATCGGAATTAAACACAGGTTTCATTCAATGTTCATCACGAGACTGCTAAATGAACGCCAAGAAATCTTCAAAAATTGAAAGATTTAATATTTAAACAATTACGATTACAATTAAATGTACATATTAAATTCAAAGTGCAAAGGGATTTAACCTGTTGCAAACATTAAAAGCTAAATAGAAAAACTACAGAAAGAAGTTCTAACTACACTAGGTATCTACGACCTATTCAAAATTGCTGGTATGACTGTATATATGCTATCCAACTGAGCCCTTTGGTATTATCCCATGCACTTCAAAAAAGTAAATGCTTTTTTGTTTTAAGAGTCAAGGTATATATAAACATTGGGCCAGCGGCTTTTACTTCTTTGGTTCAAACCCTGTATGTTTTATCTATGAAACACTTAACTTCAGGATCTAAAAATTTATAAATATTCTTATCAAAAAGCAAAATATGAGGTAAGTTTCAAAACACTTTGCAGTTTTAGCTATATGAGTTCCAACAGATCCCACATGAAACATACTACTTTAAAAAAAATAAAAAGAACATAAAAGTGTTGCAAACCTGTTCTACAGATCTGCAGCAAGGACTGGGTTACAGTTGGGTATGACCAAAGGACAAAACAAATCTAAATGAAACTTAATTTATATGCAGCATGGGTGGAATAGAAAAGATAAAATAACAGTACCCATTTTTTCCTCATGCTTCCTATTTACTTTTATTTTATTTATGTTAAAATTTTGAGGCACCTTGCTCCTTAACATGTAACAAACCACTTGATTTTGCTATCTAAAGGAGAAAAATAGGAAAATTATTAGCACTTAAGAATTAACTGTGCAATAATGACTTCCAGGGCTTTTTAAAAAACATGCATGAATCTGAGTCATTATCACAATGTTCAGCACTCTTTACAGATCTCATTTTGAAGTCAGGCATGCAATGAGAGGTGTACCTGATTTGCCTGACTGCTCATGAATATCAGGTACTCTGCTACACATCCTGCCTAATATGTAGCTAACTAACAGGCTTTCCAATATACAGTTCCACCAGCTGTGCATGCAAATTAGGCATAGAATTATGCACCAGTTCTTCTGAAAATCAAAATACTTCAGTGTTTTCAAACAACTAACAAACCAGATCTTCTCTTGAACACCTAGCATCTTGCAATTAACTGGATACTCATACAGGTTTCTACAGGATCAATACATATGGCTCAAGTAAATCCAATGGCAGAAGTGGCTCCTAAAGCATGTCTGCATTCTAATTTAGATCCTTGGTCAGTAACGTACATAAGTATATGCCTAATTTAAGTATGCACTTACATACAGCCAATTCAATATACACTTAACCAGTAAAACTTGAGAGATGTTTAGGCATTTAGCCCTTTTATATAGGAACTGAGTTAGGCACATAACTAAACAATGAATCAAGTTCAGAAAGGTACCGAAACACAAGCCTACACTTTAAGTATATGGGTCACCTTACTGAAATAATTGGAATTACTCATTTGCTCAAATGCTGTTCAAGGAATCCACTGAACGCTTTTGGTTAAGTGTACCATTATAGCAGTTCAAAGAATGAATAACATGCACATCTAAATTGTAAAATTATCAGCATTATTTCCAGAATACTTTGGTCCTTCCACAATGTAATGTTTTATTTTAAATACAAAATCTAGTTGGTCAGATCCATGCCACTAACAAAGATTCATTTATTTTAATCAAGAATGAGAAAGGGTCGATCTCTACAGACAGAACCCTGAAAATCTGCCTGTACATTCAAAGATACTGTCTTTTCAAAGATCCTTCTCCAGTTTTTAAGACCAGGTCAAACTTTTTAACAATTCTATAGAAATCAAACTGTTGTGGGGGAAAAAAAAAGAAAACCTGAAACATCTTGCAAATCTACTTCTCTGTTCCTCAGACAGTTTTGAAAAACAAATTAATATGTGAGGCCAAATAACCTCATAAGTTACAGGCTTTATGTTTCGGAGTTTTATCTCCATGAATTTATTTATAAAAGGATTACAAGCCCACAAAGATACAACTAAACATGTGGCTTATGACACAACAAATTAGGACATTAACGGTTTCCTTTTTTAAACTCATGGTATTTAAAAACTGAATGGAAATGTGATAGAGATACTTATTTTCTATTGAGGGAAATAGACAAAATAAATATGCCACATCTATACCACATCCTTAGAAAGATTTCTCAGAAGCTCTTGTGTTTAGTGAATTACAGATTGTATGATGATTTATTTACTGATTCTTCACTTTGCAAAGGAATCTGGAAGCAGATATAGATTAGCTCTGCATTGCCTAGAGACACCTTATACTTCTTAGAAAATGTACAGTTGTCCTAAATATCAGCTATAATCAAGGTGCTTAAGAGCCCTAGTCAACCTAGTCCATATCAGAACCCGTTTTCCTAAATGCGGAACAGAAGTCCCTGTCTTAAGCAAACCCCTCCAAGTACTCAGAAGAAATTAATTTTCTGCTCTTTGTACTGAAACTACAGTTAATCCTTCCCCCTCCCCCAAAACTGCTCCTGCAAGAACTAAATTTGCTCGTTTTAAAAATACAGAGTTCACATCTGCTCTAAACGTAATTAAAGGATTTTTTATTTTCCTGCTATTTTAAATAAATGGAACACGCACACTTACAAATAAAATAATTTCTCTGTGATCCAATTCATGATTCTTATTGGATTTAGCAGCAGTGATTAAAGAGATTACAACTACTGGCAATTACCTCAACTGGCACAGCTAAATCCAACAGAGATCACGAAGCAAAGCTCTTCCTAGCTGCAGTGCACAGCCTGGTGCATCAACAGAGTGAAACCAATTGATCCTAATGCAGCTGGCTGGGAAGAGCAATGCCTGAGGACTACACACAGCACCTGCTCCACCACTTCTGTTTCAGGGCTTCCATTTCACAAGAAGTAAGAAGATCATTTAGGAATGAGAACCTTCTCAATCACTCCAGCATGAACTGCCAGGGCTTCTGAGATTGTGAGATGACCAAGATGACGCTTCTTCCTTTCTTTCTTTTTTTTTTTTTTAAAAAAAAAAACCACAACCCTATTCTTGAAACAACCACCACTGACTGGAGCATGTCAAAATGCAATATACACATACATACACACACACACAGAGAACTGAGTCAATCTTCCCACAAATAACAGTGTTAAAAGACAATGTGCCTCACATAACATTCCAACCAAAACTTCAGGCTGCATTTGTACTTATGAGTGGTAAACAGTTTTTTCTGAAAATTACAAAAACAAAAGGATGAAATCTTACTGCCACTGACCTCACTGGAGCAAGTTTCCATCAGAAGCAAACAAGTATTTCACGACATTCAATATTGATGAAAGTTCAATTTCAGAAATAATTATTTTAAACTCACAGACATAAATAGTAAGACTTCTTATAAACAGACCATGCAACGTAAAAGAAAACTACTCTGCTGAGAAGAGCAAAAATAGCAGAGAAAGATTATGGCTTTACTTTGTAAAGGTAATTTCTCCAGAAGTAAGAGTTTCAACTGTCCTTTTCCAAGACAAACTCATAAAGCATAACATATGAAAAACTGATACGTTTTTCACTATTCCTGTCTTCTGACACAATGTGCTCATCTGTTGAATTTAGATGCTTAAATGTATTCCAGATCAAATTTATCTGTAATTCTTAGCATAAAAATGAATCATATTCTAAATTCTGTGTATACCATCCACCATTCATAAGCAGCTTCAGGTCAACTTCAAAATGAAACACTGTGAACCCTTTACAAAACACCATTTTTA